GCCTCCATAGTTCTGTTATGTCTTTGAGCCCCTTTCAGCTCATTTTGAGCAGCTTTATCGCTGTTCACAGCTTTCGCTATTGAAGTAGCTCCTCCAGCTAGTGCTCCAGTGGCGCCTAAAGCAGCAAATAATGGAATTAATAAAGTAATCGCTCCACCAACTTTACTGGGAATAGGTAAAATACGTGGTATATTTATTTTACTTCTACCGCCAGCCTTTTTTAGAGCTTCTTTGGCTCCTTTTATAGCCGAACGAATAACTACAAGAGCTCGATTGTTAGGAACACTACTTTTCGAGGCTGCCTTAATAGTTTTATTCAATGTAACTGATGGTTTTTTAATTTTTCTACATTTCTTTCGTGCTTGGCGTTTTTAAAATCCTCTACCTCGTTTCTTACTACCTTTCTTCATATCAACACCCATACCAAGCTTACTTTTAATTTTCATAATGTTGGCTACAGTGAAGGCAGCTGCTTTCTCACCAAAACTGCTATCATTAACTAGTACTCTTTTCCAAGCTTTTTTAGCTAGAATTTCGTCAGCTTTATTTCTTGTCGCAATATCCTCCAGATTTTGCGCATAAGTGATATCGTATTCTTTACAAGCAACATCTAGTGGATTTTTATTAGGATCTTCACGTGCCAATCGTTTGTTCAATTTTGTACCAGGACCACAATATTGATATCCAGGTAAGTGAGCTTCAATAGGCAAGTTATTTATAACCTTGTTCACTACATCACCATCAGTCTTTCTTTTATAGTACGTGACCATAGTTCTTCGACAGACAGCATGTTAATGAAATAAAAGATATATAAGCAGACTTTTTATACCTAACAAACTCATTCATTGAGGTGTCGATGACGAGTAAACAACATGGATTTCAAAGAACAGCTTCTTAAGCTTCAAGTCATTAATTTCGATGGAGTGGTAGAGATGGAAAAACAAGAAAAAAGACATGGTGAACTATTGCCTAATAGTATCCGTGCCGTTTTCTGTGGGCCTATTAATTGCGGAAAAACTAATTGTTTATTAACATTAATCACTCATCCAAATGGTCTTAGATTTGAAAACGTATATGTCTACTCAAAATCCCTTAATGAGCCTAAGTATAAATTTTTGAAAGATTTATTAGAGCCTATTAATGGTAAGAATATTCTGCTTTTAGCAAGCATGAGACAGATGTTTCACCAGATAAAACACGACCAAATTCTATCATGATTTTTGACTATATAGCCACTGAGAATGAAGATAACGTAAGAGTATTCTTCTGTATGGGAAGACATAAAAAAGTAGATAGTTTCTATCTCTGTCAATCGGACAGCATCACGAAGCTTCTCATTCGAGATAATGTGAATTTACCTGTTTTGTTTAGACAAGATGACGTGAATATTAAGCACATTTACAATGATCATGTTAAATCAGATATGTCTTTTGAGAAGTTTAAAGCAATTTGTTCAAAATGTTGGAGAGACGATAATCATGGGTTTTGATTATGTACAGAAATAGACCAATAAATCATGGACGATATAGAAAGGGATTTGATTTTTTTACTATAAAATTAGCGGAGTGAGTGGACGAAGATTATTTAACTTTAGAAATTACAAGCGTAAACATAGCTGACTTTGAAAAAGAAAAGAAGGTGTTCGAGCAATTATCCATGGCTCGTGATGCCATAAGACGCAAGTATCAACTAATTAAATGCGGTAAAGCTGACTTAGAAAAGACATTGCATGAAACATTTAAACCTATGATTGATCCATTGAAGAAACTTGTAGAGGTAACTACTGATAAAAGTAACGCTACTATTGCTACTACTACTACTATTGCTGAACAGCCAACGAAAAAGAAAAATAAAATCGCGTTCGATAATGTTTTCAAGTCAGAAGTAGCAGCTGACACTCCCTACGAATCTATTTCAATAGCACTGCTAATGATTTAAATTCTACATTGTAACCGCTTGATACTATAGTTGAGTCTGCTATTTCTATTGATGATAAGACTGATGAATCATCACTTGATACAACTGCTATAAATTTGAACAAAAGTAGTTCAAATGTAACTACAGAACAGAGACAACAGTTATTGGATGATTCAATTGTAGGAAACTATGTTCTCTTATTGCTATGCAAGAAAATACATATGTCATAGGGAATTCTTCAATTTCCTTCCAAAACGATAACGTGACTGTGAATGATAAAGCATACAGCAAGACGCCTGGTTTAATGGAACTTCTTTTTCGGAAAGAACCTGATTCTAAATTAATCAGTTCATCGGATATTGAAAATTATATAAAAATTCTTGAAATCACTAACGCTCATCAAAAGAGATATGAAATAAAAAGAAGAATATCGCAATAAACATGTAAATAAATTCAAAAAGTATATTAGTCCAAATTTATCTTTGAGCAGTAGCGCTAAGAAGCGAAAATCGACTATTGATGGAAGAAGTCTTTTTCCTAACTATAAAATAGCTAGAAAAGAAACATTATTTGATTATGTATATTGGGATGATCCAAACGAGCTCGTTGATCGATTGAGATTGCTTATTGCCGAACAAACCGCCGGTAATTCTAGTCATGTTAATGAAATTCATTCAATTATTGAAGAATTACGTGAAGCTGGTTATATATATTAAGTGAATCCTAAATATTACTCAGTAATAAAATAAGTATTGATGTGTTTGGACGTATATTGAACAAAATGGAGGGTAATCGAGGTCCTCCTGGTGTAGGGTATAAAATCACAAAAGACGGACAATAAGACGTGAATGACAAAAGAATTTGTAATATAGCCGAGCCTCAGGAGAGTAAAGATGCTGTAAACCTACGAACGTTGGGAAAAACTAGTGAAGCTAACGTTATTACGCTTACGAGTACGATAAATGATCTTATAAAATCATTGAATACAATAAGATCAGAATAATAATGCATCGAGAAGTTATTAAACAGTTAGAAGATAATAATAATAATAATAATAATAATAATAATAATAATAATGCCGGGCTGGTCCAGTGAGTGGTAACACCTCACTGGGCAAATGCTAGCTTCCAACGTCCACGACGTGCCCGGTGGAAACGTTGTCCGTCGCGTCAATGCTCTGAGCAGCAACGCTATAACGGATACGGCCAAGAGGAAGATATGGCTCACAAATGACGCAAAAGATAATGGTATTCTGCCGATGTGTCCAACCATTAATCACTCATACACATACACACACACACACTACGCAAACACTCACACACACACGCCTTCTGGCAAACCGGAGAAGTGAATGCTCGGTGACCCTATAAACGGGTCTTACCGAAAAGCGAATGGTCGGGGACTCCTATAAACGAAGTCGCCCGAAAGCGAGAGAAGGGGATATCTCTAAACGGACTCTCCCCGTGAATGAAGCCCGGTTTCGCCTATGGGCACTCACGTACACGCACACACCACAGGGGGGAACACTGAACACACAGGGTAAACATACAGGGGGGGGGACCTCAGGGGCCGTGCGCTGTCCCAGCGCGGTTCGTGGAGTCGCGACCACGAGGGACCTTCAGCACAACGGGACAAAACCAACAATATGAATATGCACAATGAAAACATTGATGTACCTCAAGTGGTAACTCCTTCTCAGGAGGAATCCACCCCGGGTTCCGATCGGGTGAAAGCCCCGGTGGCCACGGGCAGCGGCACGGATTTTGAGGGCCGCACTTTGTGCACGGGAATGGGGGGAAAGACAGGAAAAAACGACAAGAAACTACTGAACATACCGAGACGACAGAGGACGGACAGTGGGTCAAGCGGCGGCAGCGGGGTGAGCTACGTCTCTGCCGCTGAGGGCCAAGAACCGACGACAGGACGAACACCGACAAGAACTAGTGATACACGAGACGTGACGGTACCGCTGCGGCGCATACAAGTGCCACCTGCGCGGAAAAACGAGGGCTCCGAAAAGCAGACCTCCAACACTGACGCCGACATGAAAGACGTGGACAATGACAACGGACATAAGACAGAAAACCTCCAGCTGTTTCGCACGCAGCTCAGGCGCATTGATGCCGCGCTCGAAAAGATGGAGGCACGGACTAAGATACAGAGAAATATTAGTACGGACATAACGACTAGTATGGCTGTAATAAAGGAGGCGGTGGAGATTGCATGGAGTGAATGCGACCGCCTAAATCCCCTCCTGGAGTCCGTAAACGACAGGAGGACAGAAAGACAGAAAAGAAAGAGGGAGGACACGGGGGCCAGCCCTGAGCAAGCCGTGGCCTATCAAAGGGTTGCGGACGAGTCAGGCTGGACCACGGTGAACTCCGCGAACAGAAAAAAGAGGAAGTCTAAACAGAAGACTAATGACCAAACGACGGAGACGACTTCCCTCAAACAGAAGACGCAACAGACTACCCCTGTGGTGGCGCTGGGCGCGCGGAGGGAGAGGCCACTAGCTTCGACATCCGCAGCGGCGACGCCTATCCACGGGAACAAACGGCCCGAGCTGGACAAGAACCGGCCCAGTGTGGGTGGTTCCCGCCGGAAGGGGGGGACCAACGTTATACTGGTACGGCCAAACGACGGACGAACGTACGCGGATACCCTGCGCAGACTAAAGACGGAGATTAATCCCGAGGGCTCTAAAGTGAGTATCTCGGGATATCGGAAGACTAAGGACGGAGGACTCCTCATGCGCTTTCGCTGTAACGCAGACGCAAGACGGAAGTTCCAGGAGAAACTCCAGGTTACTCTTGGAAATGAGGGTAATGTACGAGACATGACACACGGACAGACACTAGAGATACTAGACCTCGACTGTGTTACAGACACGAATGATGTACAGAACGCATTGAAACGAGAAACAGGACAAGATGCGGACTTTAAGATCCACATTTTCGGACCGAATAAACACGACGTTTGTATGGCAGTGTTCGAAGCAGACAGAGACACGGCCCACAAACTGCTCAAGAAGGGCAGAATTAAGATCGGCTGGGTCAACTGTCGGCTGAGAGAAAGATTGACGGTCCCGAGGTGCTACCGGTGCCTCGGATACGGACATAGACGAACGGACTGCACAGGACCTGACAGAGGACAGTGCTGTTGGAGGTGCGGGGGGACCGGCCATGTCGGGAGAGCCTGCCCCACCAAACAGCCGACGTGCTTCCTATGTTCCGAGGCGCGTGCAACGGAGAGGGCGCACGTCCCGGGAACGGGAGCGTGCGCGGCCTACCGGGCAGCGCTGGAGGAGTGCCGGAAGCAGACACGACAATGACAGGAATCTTACAAGGAAACCTGCGTAGGTGCGAGGCAGCCCAGCTGCTTATATCACAGACAGCGAAGGAACGAAACGTAGACATACTGATACTGAGCGAGCAACTGTGGGACTTACGAGAACAGGACGGCTGGTTCTCGAATACCCTCGGTACGTCGGCCATATGGGTCAAAGGCAAACCGGCTAGGAGAATACAAGCGTCTGGCAGGGGGGAAGATTACGCGTGGGTGAGGGTAGATTCCGTCACCTACGTTAGCGTATATTTGACCCCAAACTGCACGATGGCAGTGTACGAGGAAAAAGTCGGTAAGCTGGAAGACGCCCTCACAGGTCTCCCGGGTGACTTTGTCGTCGCGGGAGACATGAACGCGAGAGCGGTCGAGTGGGGTATGACAACGACGGACAAACGAGGAAGACTGCTTCTGGAAATGGCCGCAAGGCTTGATCTGGTAGTGGTCAACCAAGGGACGACAACGACCTATAGACGACCGGGCTTCGGATACTCAATACCCGATGTGACGATGACGTCAGACAGGATCTCGTCGCGGATAAGAGGATGGCGGGTGACCGAGGACTATACAGCCAGCGATCATCAGCACATCGTCTTTGAGGTGACAAATCAATCGACGAACATACGAAACGGACAAACTAGAGACAGGACTTCAACGTATTGGAACTTACGACGACAAGATAGAGAGCTGTTTGACAAACTGCTAAGGGAGGCACCGTTACCCGCCGAGTCTGTCCCGGCAGAGCTTGGTCTGCGGGAGCGTGCCGAATGGATAACGGACAAGACAACGGAACTGATAACGGAACTGTGCGACGCCACGATGACTCGACGCAAGGGCCGAACACACAAACGAGCAATGTACTGGTGGACGGACGAGATTGGCCTCCTCCGTGGGGAATGCATTGCCTGCCGCCGGAGGATGAACCGCGCACGGAAAAAGAGCAGACCAGACGCGGAAGAACTATCGACAGCGTACAAGATGGCACGTAAGAGACTGACCACTAAAATAAAGGACAGTAAAAACCGATGCGCTAGACAGTTGTGTGAAGAAGTGGAGCGGGACCCCTGGGGACTTGGCTACAAGATTGTGACCAAGAAATTGGGGGCCCTTGGCCCTTCTGAACCAAAAGACAAAGACACCATGAAAGCAATAGTAGATGGACTTTTCCCAAACCAACCAGAGACGGAAGAAATGACGAACGAACAAGAGACGACAGTGCCAGAGTTTGTCGGGGCAGAGCTTATTAAGGCTGTGTCCACGATCAAGCCTGGTAAGGCACCCGGACCAGACGGTATACCGGGAGAGATCCTCCAGCAGATCGTGAGCGTACGTCCAGGACTCCTCCTGGATAAGTATAACGCGGTCTTACGTGCGGGCATCTTTCCCAGACGATGGAAGACTGCTAGACTGGTTCTCCTGCATAAAGGAAAAGGAGAGCCGAATAGTCCGTCTTCCTATAGACCCCTGAGTCTTCTAGACACAGCGGGTAAACTTTACGAAGCGTTATTGAAACCAAGACTGACGAACGCGGTAACTGCAAACGGAGGACTTGCAGGAAACCAGTACGGATTCAGACGGGGCTGCTCAACTATAGGGGCGATTCGACAAGTGACCGACGCCTTTCGGCGGACGAGGCTCGTGTGCTACGGAGCGAGGCCAATAGTACTTCTCGCGACTCTTGATGTCAGGAATGCCTTCAACTCCGCTCGGTGGGGGGATATTCTGGAGGCCCTACAAACTTTCAGGGTTCCCGAATACCTGATGCGGGTGATGAGGGAGTACCTACACGACAGATGGATTCGATACGAGACGACCGACAGAACAGTGACCAGACGAATCACAGCAGGAGTCGCCCAAGGCTCAATCCTTGGACCCGACTTCTGGAACATACTGTACGACGCACTACTAAGACTACCGATGCCACCGGGGGTGGAGCTGGTTGCCTACGCCGATGATGTGGCTGTGGTGATAATAGCCCGTACCCCGGAGCTGGCGCAAATGCTTCTGAACCGCGCGATGTTACGAATCAATAGATGGATGACTGAACGCGGACTTAGCCTTGCCCTGGCCAAGACAGAACTCATCCTTCTGACGGGAAGCAGGATTAATACCCTGATTCCCATGACAGTCGGAGAGGTATCGCTGCGGACCAGTGGGGCGGTCGAGTATCTGGGGGTGACCCTAGATACGAAGATGACCTTCTGGCCGCACATACAACAGACAGCGAGGAAGGCGGCAGAGAGGACTTCCGCTCTCAGTCGTCTTATGGCAAATACATTTGGACCGAGACAATGGAAGAGACGACTACTGATGACAACGACCCACTCGATCATGCTCTACGGGGCGGAGGTGTCGGCCGACGCGTTGGGGGTCAAGAAATACTGCAAACGACTGACAAACGTACAAAGACAGGGAGCACTGAGGATAGCCTGCGCCTACAGGACAGTCTCGGCTGAGGCTGTCCTGGTGGTGGCGGGGGTTATCCCGATAAACATGCTCGCCAGAGAGCGGAAACGCGTGTACGAACGAAACAGCGACATGACCAGAACGGAAGCTGCCCAGGACGAAAGAACTAGGACGATGACGGACTGGAACAAACAATGGAGGATGAGCACGAACGGAGCATGGACTAGACGACTCATTGACGACCTGAGACCGTGGACGGAGAGGCAATTTAGGGAAGTGAATTTTTACCTGACCCAGTTTCTTACCGGCCACGGGTACTTCAGGAAATATCTGTTTGACAGAAACAAAGTTAACAGCGCCGACTGTAAATACTGTGGATACAAATGTGATGACGCAGAGCATACATTTTTCAAATGCTCACACTGGAACGACGAAAGGCAAAGACTGGAGACGACGCTTGGAAACATCACGCCCAACAACATTGTGGCAAAGATGCTACAAGACAAAGACTACTGGACGGTAACGGCAACGTACGTTGAGACTATCCTACGAGGGAAAAAGGCGGACGGTTGCCTGGAAGTCGAGTGTTAGACGAGAAGAATGCGGGAGTAAATGGTATGAACAAATGGATGAATGTGAATAAACGGACGTAACGAAACGATACAGGACCCGTGGACAACGAGAGGACTTGACGCGGTTCTCCAGCGGGAAGTAATGCTTACGCGGTTCCCCGCTGGAGAATGGTGTAGGTGGACTTTACTACTCTTCCCCGGATGGTTTACCCTCCGGTTGAAGAGAAGCGGGATTTGGGCGGTCAGCTGGTCTTCGACGACCCGGAGGCTCCTTGCGTTCGATTGATAGATCGCTTGAAACAGCCCGGTCTGAGAGGATCAGCGAGTCACGTCACACGGCGGGTGGGAGAGTGTAGGTGGGTAGCTTCGGTGAACTGCCGTCACACTCCAACCGTTATGGTCCATGAGGATTTATCCTGTTTTTTTTACCACCATAAAAAAAAAAAAAAAAAAAAAAAAAAAAAATAATAATAATAATAATAATAATAATAATAATAATAATAATAATAATAATAATAATAATAATAATAATAATAATAATAATAATAATAATCGTGGCTTGGAAGGAATTTTGGTGATGTGAATTTTCACGTCACCCAGCTCTTGACGGGCCACGGGTACTTTCGACGGTACCTCCACAATATGAACAGAGTACGAACACCCGACTGCAAGTATTGTAGACACGAACGAGACGACGCGGAACACACTTTTTTCGGGTGTGACCGCTGGACAAGACTCAGACGAGAACTAGAGACAACAGTTGGCAACATCACCCCCGATAACATTGTAGAGGTGATGCTGCATAAACCCGAATGGTGGCGTTTAGTCGCTACCTATACGGAAACTATACTAAGACGTAAGAACGTGGACGACTGTCTGAAGGACGACTGAGCAGACGGATTGACGCGACGTAACGACGCACGGTGAAACGATACGAACGAACGAACACAGACAGAACCCCCAGTCAGAAGTAATATCAACATAGTCCCTGGCTGGGGGAAGGACAACAAGAAGATGGCGGTTTAGTGGGTAGGCCTGTCTTGTTTTTGGGGAGTCCCACATACCTCCTTAGATATAAAGATTAAGGGGAATCCGCAAAAAGGATTCCGCAACTCCTTGTAAAAAAAAAAAAAAATAATAATAATAATAATAATAATAATGCCGGGCTGGTCCAGTGAGTGGTAACACCTCACTGGGCAAATGCTAGCTTTCAACGTCCACGACGTGCTTGGTGGAAACATTGTCCGTCGCGTCAATGCTCTGAGCAACAACGCCATAACGGACACGGCCAAGAGGAAGATATGGCTCACAAATGACGCAAAAGATAATGGTATTCTGCCGATGTGTCCAACCATTAATCACTTATACACATACACACACACTACGCAAACACTCACACCTTCTGGCAAACCGGGGAAGTGAATGCTCGGCGACCCTATAAACGGGTCTTACCGAAAAGCGAATGGTAGGGGACTCCTATAAACGGAGCCGCCCGAAAGCGAGTGAAGGGGATCTCTCTAAACGGGCTCTCCCCGTGAACGAAGCCCGGTTTTGCCCATGGGCACTTACATACACGCACACACCACAGGGGGGAACACTGAACACACAGGGGGGGGGGACCTCAAGGGCCGTGCGTTATCCCAGCGCGGTTCGTGGAGTTGCGACCACGAGGGACCTCTAGCATAACGGGACAGAAAACTATGTAAAATGCACAAAGAAAACATTGATTTACCTCAAGTGGTAATCCCTTCTCAGGGAGAATCCACCCCGGGTTCCGATCGGGTGAAAGCCCCGGTGGCCACGGGCAGCGGCAAGGATTTTGAGGGCCGCACCTTGTGCATGGCGAAGAGGAGGACCAAACGAAACGATACGAACAAAAATACATTGAACATACCAGAGCGATAGAGGGCAGACAGTGTATCAAGTGGCGGCAGCGGGGTGAGTTAGGCCTCCGCCACAGACAACCAAGAACAGACGTCAGGACGAACACCCACGACAAACAAAACACGTGACATGACTGAACTGCTAAGGCTAATACAAGAGACGGCGACAAAAATGGCCGAAGCATCAAACATACAAAAAAACATGAATATGACAGTGAAGACTGTAATCAAGACAATTCTCGAGACTGTGGACATTGCGCTGCACAAGCGGATGGACACAGCTCCGGAAGGACACCGACAAGACAGCAACAAGACAAACACGACGACGAACAACAACGCAGAGACGCCACAGACGAAACGGAAACGTTCGCTGACCGGAACCACGCCGGAGCCCTCACAAAAGAGGCCACCGACGACAGATTTGACCAAAGACTGGCAGACCGTTACACGGAAAAAGACAAAAAAGAAAACGGACGCAAGGAATCGACCTGACAAGGACAGACCGGCCCACCAGAAAAGGAGACTCGCTGTCCTCGTCAAACCGGGGACACACGCTTCGTGCTCCGATATCGTACGAAAAATTCGGACAACGATCGATCCGAAGGAGAGTCAGGTACAGGTGACGACCCTGAGGAAGACGAAGAATGATCTGTGCCTATTGAAGCTGCAGGTAGATGCAGACAAATCAGACGGACGCGACGTGTTTGAACGACAGATCCAGGAGGCCATCGGGGAAGCGGGCAGTGTCAGGGCTATGACTTCCAAGGTACAATTGGAGATCATGGATCTGGACTGCGTCGCGACTCCGGAAGACGTGACGGACGCGCTCAGACGAGAGTCTGGGCGAGACATAGATTTTCGGGTCCACATTTTCGGTCCTAACCGCGCTGAGCAGTATATGGCGGTCTGCGAAATGGAATCGCGGGAAGCCGAGGCGCTGCTCCGGCGCGGTCGGATCGAAATTGGCTGGGTGCACTGCCGCGTCCGAAAAAGA